TATAAATTAAAAAAAAAAAAGGTAACAGTTTAAAGCAAAAGTAATGGTGTAGAAGGGCAGGACTTGTAAGTGACATATAACAACAGTCCAGCTGCTGTGATTCTTTCTTCTTTCTGTTAACACTTGATTAACATAAAAAATCCTAAGAGACACTCTTAGTGCACCAAAATTGTCAGGTTATCTACACCCACAGTGCGTGCACAATCTTTGGTGGATCCCCACGGGTGAATGCAAGTATTTGAGGCCTGTCTGAATGACCTGCAAAGCACACATAAACCAAGAACTTTCTAAATCTATCTAGAATTCTTCCACAATTGATATATACCAACATTTATCAGCAATTTATAAAATGTGATGCTAAAGCTAGCAATTTACATAATAGGTGTACCTTTACTGTGCCTTTTATTTTCTGACATATTTTGGCTTTATCATTATTTACTGTCACATTTTCAGTCCAAAAATGCTGATTTTTCTTAACTTCCTACTTCAAGACTTAAACAATCATTTCTTAGATAACTATTTTATAAGTCTAATAAGGTTATTAACATTAAAATATTCTTCTCTTTTTCTCATTAGGGAAAGATAAGGATTTTTTTTTCTTTTTGAGAAAGTCTTGTTTTATAAGCTCATAGAGTTTGTAAAAAATAGTAATATGCGGGAGTCCTAAAAAACACGACTAGCTCAAAGTAAAAGTGTGTAAGCCCTGCCTGAGGTAACATGTGTTTCTTATTTCTAAACTATGTTCCAAAGGCAGTTCGTTCTTATCTTCAACATAAAACACTGAGCATTACTTTATCTAAGCCAAATGAAGTAGTTATCTAAACATGGAACACACAAATTTTATTTTAACAAACTTACAGAGAATCTGCTACTTTCCTTTAATGAGTTACACTACGCAAAGTAGAGAAAAAATAAGAAAATCTCTATTTCCTTTTCTGAACAAAGCATGAAATTAAGAGCAAGACTCTGGTCTCCTTTTGCAACACCACTAACACCAATGAGCACATAAGAACTGGGGTGTTGGCCAGAGGTGCAGAGGATAAGAGGTTTTAGAGACCAGAGACAGAATGGGGAGCAGAACAGGCAGATCAACTGAAATACACCACTGAGGGGGGGCAGCAGGTGAGACAGGAGCAGTCTGCTATGCATGAGTCCTCCTGGCCAGGGATGGAACTCCTGGAGCAGTGGACACACCAGTGCCTCTTGCAATTCCAGACTTCTTCCCAGGCATTAAACTACATCCCTGGGACACCTTGAACTGTCTCCAGGATCCCAGGACTTCTGCTTGCCATCCTTGCCTCAGCCCAATTCTTGAGGACTCCCTGAGGGAAGGTCCTGAGGAAGGGAGATTCACCAGTCTGAATCTTCCTCAAAATACAAAGAAATAATTATGCAATAATTACTGAGAGAGAAATCTGTGGATGAGCCATACATAATACTGGGTACTGGTATAAACCAAAAACCTTGAGAATGGAAGAAGTAAAAATTAGTTGTGGAAATATTTTAACAAGGTAAATCAACTTATAAAAAAGAGGTTAACAATGGAAATAAAACCATAAAAGCAAAGCAGTAGTTAATAAACATTTAAAAGGCTTGCTCCAGTTAATTTTTAAAATGAAAAGTTTAAATATCTAAGTTATTCCTATCAAAATCAAAAACTTGCCCTCTCTGGTAGCACAGAGTAATCTCACCACTATCAAGTCTATTGCCACTGCCCCAAGAGTTCCATCCCTGGCCAGGAGGACTCATGCATAGCAGACAGCTCCTGTCTCACCTGCTGCCCCCCCTCAGTGGTGTATTTCAGTTGATCTGCCTGTTCTGCTCCCCATTCTGTCTCTGGGCTCTAAAACCTCTTATCCTCTGCACCTCTGGCCAACACCCCAGTTCTTACGTGCATAAATAAATTTTTTTTAAAAATCAAAGACTTATTTTTAATATACCCAATGAAGTACAATGAGACATTCTCTTACTTCTAGGTTTTAAGCCAGCACAGCTATTCTGTAAACTTAGTTAACATATATTATTAACAGTCTAATATGCTAGTTTTCAAATAATTTATTTCATCAGGAACTCCAAGTACCACAGCAAATAATTTCAATAGACAGTAAGAAAATATGCCACTGTTACCAGGATAAAAATCTGTTAGTCATGTGGATCAACTTTAAAAATGATGAAATGTATTAAATTTTTTCAGCAGCTGAAGAATATTAAAAAACTGAGATGCTTTCCAATGTAACCAGCAAATGTCAAACTCCTGTGCTACTTTAGAGAAAATAAAAGTATCAAAATGTGGGTTAACACGCAATACATTAAGAGAATGTGTGTTCCAACATGTGCAGAAGCTATTTGAATTCTACAACATGAGGACATTCCAGTGAATGAATGGTTTGATGTCAGATTTCAGTCATGGCTGCCAATGATTACTTTATATACTTAAACTTTATTTACAATAATGCCTCAATTTTCTGACATCAACAGCAAATCATTAGTCAATAACTGAAAGTCTCTTGCTTTATTTAATATTCTCTTATCCAGAAGAAACACTTACCTAAACTTGTGGGCTTGATGAGAACATCAAGGACGTCATAAAAGGGCAGGTTTTTTAACTGCACATCAGGATGGACAGGAGGAATTGGGGGAGATGGCTGCTGCATCTCAAACGTGGGCTTCGTATCTTGAAGCAGCACAGAACCAACAGGAGAGGACGGTGAATGGGGTGTCACTGAAGTGGAAGGCAGCGAGTGGATTCCAGCCACGGCAAGCTCAGGCTCTACAGGTGATGAGCTACCATCCAAATTGAATACCGAAGATTTGATTGTAGATAAATCAGAAAGTCCTTCAAGAGTCCGTGGGTATCGGCGTCTGTACAATTCTCGGATTTTAATCTGAACCGCAGGGCTGCAGCCACTCTTCAATAAATGCAACGCCCTCATCAGGAGGTCATGCTTGCGTCCACTTTTATTCCGTCCAGCAAAGCCTAGTAATACTTGTAGTTCAGAAACCCTAAAACTAGAAACCATATTCTAAAAGGAAAGGAAAAAAAGGACATAAATAAACTAGCACCCTCAGGTATATAAAAACCCTATCTAAAACATACTGTAAAAATCTGATTTTTCCCACATTTGATCAAGAGACATGTGCTAATAACCAACCTTTTCACCTACTACATAGAATCGTTCTGTTCATTCAGCCATCCCTTCACTCCCAAATTAAATTCAAGTCGCAGTGTTAAATTTTGCTGTATTTTAATTTTAAATTCTGGTCATTAATGGTTTCTATTAACCACTTAGTCTGTTTATGCTGATTAGTCTAATAAGCTCCTATGCTCTTATTTCCTTGGTGACTACAAAACCTTCAATCAATGAAAATATTCCTTCTAAAACTGATTCTTTCTGACCAATACACAATGTAGTCTGCTACAGAATTATCAGAAACCCAAAAAACATAGTTTTGCAACACTATATATACATAACTTCCCATGCTAAGTAGTAAATCTACAAAATCAAGACAGAATTGTGATCCAAGAACTCCAAATATTAAGGAGCAGAAAACAAGGACATTTTTAAATAGCAATGCTAAAAACCACATGCATATCTTATTCTGCAGTCACACTTCTAAAATGATTAAAACTTCCACTAAAAAAAAAGACCAAGAAAAAAGAGCAAGAAAACAATGGTCATACATCTTAAAGGGCAGTTATCTCCCACACCTTCACTGACTGGTTCTTGGGTATAAAACAAAGTCACAAGCTATTGGTGCTTCACCACTCATCTTCCATTTAGTCAACAAATTAATAAATGCATGTGGCCACTTGCCTTCTCATGAGTCTAGCTACTTCATGATTTTCAGTCAATCCTGAATTGAAAGCTGAGCCACGAGGTCAGACCACCTGCACCAGGGCACCTTCTAGCAGAAAGGGGATTAGGCCTGGAGCTGACTAAAGCCCTTTCTGAAACCTGCCACCTACCACCCCACCCCTCAGTGCCACAAACTGCAGCAGTGGGATTTCCTCTCCACCTGTCCTCCCCTGTAGCACAGTAAAGGCAGGAACAGTACCTGTGCTGGCAGGGACTGATAATTAATTCCTCTGTTCTGCACTTTTAAGTCTCAGTAACAGCCCAGAAGCAACTGCTTAAAACTGGCATTTAGATAGTTGTTTAGAATAATAGTTGCTTTTAAAAATGCAAACGTTTAATTAGATCAAAGTAATCCACATGTACATGTAGTATCAGAAGTCTACTTCACAGGCTATTAGGTCTCTACATTTCACATATACAAGTCAGAAAATATTAAGTGCTCATCAGCAGCCATTTTATACTCTCAATCAACACTAATAGAAATTATATTGATACAACTCAAATTTTCTAGAAGCCCATTTTAAAAGAAATGTGAAACAAAAAATGTGAAATTATCAATTACATACATACCAATGACACAAATATTTTCACATGTAATTAATTTTTGTGTATTTAAAAATAATCAACTTCTTAGAATGTCAATATATTTTTCATACTTAGACCTTAATATCCAAGCTCATTTGGGACTTGCCACATTTCAAAGTTTAGAAACCACATGTAGCTAGGTAGCTGCCACACTGAAAGTGCAGCTCTAAAACACACCCAAACTGCACAATATACCACAGTACCATGATCATTATATTTTAACTGACTTCCTTTCCTACACATGTAACGCTACTTTATTTATCTTACCCTGATGCTACAGAAAACAAAAAAAATTCCTATCTCCTAGCAGTTTAATTCAAAGTTTCATGAAAAGGTCTACGATAGCTTTTGAGGATGTATCTTACCAAGTAAGAAATGCAATGCCTCTTTCCCGAAGCACCCAGTCCTAACAAATAACATAACTGAAGTTGGCTAATTTCACAACAGCATAAATAACATGAAGTCATGGGAAAAACTAATAGCAACAAAGGCAGTGGTAACAGACATATCTTTGATTCTTCCTAAAGAAACCAAACCAACTGAGAATTCTTTACTTTGCTCCTGTCCTTCCACTTATTTTCAAATATTCATTTTAAGGAAACTTGCTACAGAGTAACAAAATAGAAATCAAAGTCACCCTAAGCTTGGCTCTCAAAAAGGAGTTTTTGGGCAGTCTTATATCACTCATTTCCAATGTTAACTTCATTAGGTAAATGCTAATACAACTGGCTCCATCAGCTACTGTAAATATGGCTCCCTCTCCCCAAAAGGAAGAAAGGCAGAGGCTTAGAAATATGGGCTTCTCATGGGCTTCTGAAGCAAAAGGGAAATCCAATCCCCTGGCTTAAAGAAACAACAGCAGACAGGACAGAAGCTAGCTTTGAGAGTCACTGGAGTCCCATGACTTCACAAACGCAATGAAGGTCAACTTGTGGCATCAAAACTGAGGAGCTTAGGAAGTCATTTCATCTCCCTGGCCATCAATCTCTGCTTGAAAACAAACAATACTCTCCTGTAGCTAACACTATTAAGATATTCTCAGAGGAATTAACTAAACCAAATTCTACAGATATGTCTCACTAAAAAACCTTGCTGGCTCCCTTTTCTTCTTAAAATGATGTATATTTTTTAAACTCAGTCTTCAGCTGGGTTCTGGCTCTCACCGGGTAAGGTGCAGGGGGTAAGGTGACCCTGCACACATACTTCCAAGAATGGATTTCCATAGTTGTTCCCTACTAACCTCTGCTGTCTACATCTTCAGTGTACTTTTTTCCAGGTGTGTTTTATCCATTCTATCTTGCTGCCTCCCAAAGCCCACCTTCAATAACAACTGTAATGTGCTCTACACAAGGAAGTTCTCAAAAAATAGTTATTGACTGACTTTAGAGAGTGAAAACAAGTTGAAGGTATTATCTTCAGAAAACTTCAACAAATAAGTATGATAGCTACATATAATGACTGCTGGGTAAAAATATTTCCCTGAGAACAACTCTTAAACATATGATGGAAATTGCCAAAAAAAATTTGAGGAAGCGCTAATAGGTTGGAAGATCAATACAAACTTTGTAAAGCCTCCATCTACTATGATATATAATATGGGAAAGGGAGAGAGGAGCTGCTGAGGGAAATACCATTTTTATTACCACCTATCCAAACCACAATATTAATACAATCTACACCTTCCTATATACAAGCTGCAATTATGTATGTAGGTAAGTATAGTCAATATATCAAAGCAGTGGCCAATTTGATACCATAAGAAAATCTATGAGAGAGACACCCCAACTGCTAACCACTTCCTACTTCACAGGTCACAGGAGGCCTCATGTTCCTGTGAAATCATGGTATTTCCTATAATAATATTCCCTTTTATTTGAGTGAACTTTAATGGATCTCTTCCTCACAACCACTGATTAAAATAAGTTCTAAGCTAAAGAAATCAAAATTGGGGACCCCCCTCGTGGTGTAAAGGGTTAAAGCACAGCATTATGAAGCTATATGCAGCCACTGCAGCGAAAGTTCGAAAATTCCATCCCTGGCAAGGAGCTGACTCACATGGTGTAGCAGACCTCTC